CCACTCTAGGAGTGGTGATGAGCTGTCCAGGAGTAGTGCTGAGCACTGCAATTGGGGTGCCGAGCACTCCACGTACTATGCTGAGCACTCTGGCAGAACAGGGAACTCCATCGATGCCGATCGAGTTCGCCTCACCTCCAAGTGACATCACCGAGTTCGTGGATGCCTTCCACGAAGGTGAGGAGGTGCGGTTCCACAGGCTAGATGACATTGTCGGCGGCACAGGGCCCTCAGGCCTTGCTGGTCGGCTGCTCAATGATCAAGAGCTGCTGCTCGTCAGTGCAGAGGAACCACCCACGTTCGCGCTGGCGGAGCACGATGGAAACTGGCGACGGGCGATGCTGGAGGAGATGAAGGTGATCGAGGAAAACGAGAAATGACAGCTCATCGATCCACCTCCAGGATGTCATCCGATCAGCCTGAAGTGGGTGTACAAGGTCAAGCGGGACGAGCTCGGTGCCATTGCCAAGCACAAGGCGCCCCTCATCGCCCGAGGCTTTGTTCAGCGTGGGGGCATCGACTTCGAGGAAGTCTTTGCGCTAGTAGCGCGCATGGAGTCTGTTCATTTGCTACTAGCCTTGGCAGCAGCAAAGGACTGGCGCGTCCATCACTTAGACGTTAAATCGGCCTTCCTCAACGGTGAGCTAGCGGAGACGGTCTTCGTCAGGCAACCTCCAGGTTTCACCATCAAGGGAGAGGAGCATAGGGTGCTCCGACTGCGCAAGGCGCTCTACGGGCTACGGTAGGCCCTACGAGCATGGAACGCCAAGCTTGATGCCACGTTGAGCGAGTTTGGGTTCCAACGGTGTGCAACCGAGCACGCGCTCTACACGCGGCGACGGGGAAGGAGGAGCTCGTCGTCGGCATGTATGTGGACGACTTGATCATCACCGGCGCGCGTACGGAGGACATCAACAACTTCAAGTGTGAGATGGCGGCTTGTTTTCAAATGAGCGATCTCGGCGCACTCTACTACTACCTTGGCATCGAGGTGAGACAAGGGAAGGAGAAACTCATGCTCGGTCAGAGCGCGTATGCCTCGAAGCTGTTGGAGCGGAGTGGCATGGCTAAGTGCAAGCCATGCGTGACTCTGATGGAGGAGCACTGAAGCTGACGAAGGCAAGCACCACGGCGAAGGTAGATGCAACACTCTACCAGAGCATCATCGGCAGTCTGCGCTACCTAGTCCACACGAGGCCGGATATTGCGTTCGTCGTGGGCTATGTCAGTCGCTTCATGGAGGATCCTAGAGAGGATCACTAGGCTGCGGTGAAGCGGCTACTGCGCTACGTCAAGGGGACGGTGGATCAGGGGATCATCTTCCCTAAGACCGGCGGGAGTAGGCTGCAACTCACTGTGTTCAGCGATGCAGACATGGCGGGGGACATCGACGGACGGTGGAGGACCTCTGGAGTGCTCGTCTTCCTCGGGTCGGCTCCAATTTCATGGCTGTCGCTGAAACAGAAGGTGGTGGCGCTATCTACGTGCGAGGCAGAGTACGTAACGGCGGCCACAGTGGCGTGCCAAGTTGTGTGGCTACGCCGGCTGCTGGGTGAGCTGACCGGTGCGGAAGCTCACCCACTAGTACTGATGGTGGACAACCAGCCCGCCATCGCCCTCGCGAAGAACCTGGTTCTCCACGACCGGAGCAAGCACATCGACGTGAAGTTCCACTTCTTCAAGGACTGTGTCGATAAAGGGCAGATCGTCATCGAGTTTGTCGAAACTGGTCGGCAACTCGCGGACGTCCTCACCAAGCCGCTCGGACGTCTTCGACTCATGGAGCTGAAGAAGATGATCGTCATGGAGGGGGTACAAAGGATAACAGTAGGATTAGGGGAAGAATTGTTAGATAATCTACTGCTTCCTTGTGTGAACACACAGCAAGGGAAGGCGGCGCCGAAAAGGTTCCCTACTGTGGTACTATAGCCGCTTCAGGGGCAGGCGCCGAACGGCTCACCTGCCTCACTCAGTAACCTGAAGGGACAGAGACGCAGGTTGGTCTCTTTGTGTTATCTAGTCCTTTAGAGCGACATGTGAGCTGTACTAGGACTAGCGACACTGTTCGATGAAATTTGAAACGATCGTATACGATCGTGGATTATTACTGCTGGCTGGTTTGGTGTGAGAGAAAAATACTGTTCTGGCTGAAAATTTACGATCGTTAACGACCAAGCGAACATAACGACCGATCGTTCTGGTACAAAGAGAGTTCAGATTTACCATCTCTTATGCAGGGCTCCGGCCAACGCTGGAGCTTGTACTGTGTGTGTGCTCTGTTCTCCCTTTCTTCTTCTACCTATGACCATAGTGTGTGGTCGGACAATGTCTGTCGTGCTTGGCCGTGGTCGGCAAGACTGGTGAGTAGTCGACTCGTCAAGTCGGCAAGATAGAGGGGGCCGGAGGTACTGGATAGTGTATCACCAGAAAAATTGTGAAAATTGTTGAACTAGGTTTCAAATTTTTTATCCATGTAATTATTTGAAAGGAAAGAAATAATGAGCGAAAATAAATTGGTGCCATTATATTGGGAGCCATGTGTCATTCAAAAGGAGGGGGAGCCACGAATATATGCACTTGCATTAATAATGTTCACCCATTAGATGGTAGCGACACTGTAGCACGTAGGGAGCCAGAGCCGGAGAACCAAAAACAGCTTCGGCTACTCCGATTGTGTCAGGGAGAGGGAAAGAGAGGAGAGAGAAGAATGAATTCTATGAATAATGCTGCTACAGTGTGCCACAGTATGCGCTACAGTACCAGAAGGATCCGGAGCCATGGAATCCATACCAAGGGGCCCTAAGTGCAGCGTTGAACTGCTGCCGCTGTAGCATCATATCAATAAAAACAAAATATTGTAGCCATAGCTGATGGGCCAGAGCAGGCAGCTGGAGCGGCAGCGCTGCTGGTAAGTCCAGCCAAAGAGGCCTAACATGCAAATATACATGTCCAAATGGGCCGCCTAGCACGACACGACACGGGCTCGTTTAGACACTGCATGTTAAGGCACGGGCACGAAAGGCGCGACTAGCTAGCCGTGCCATGCCGTGCCGACTATCATGCCCAGGGTCAAACCTAGGCACGGCACAAAGAGCATCTAATCGTGTTGTGCCGACCCGATAAGCCTGGCGGTCCGGTAGCCCATTTCAGCTCGAACAGCAGTTCATCTTAGCCTAAAGTGAGAGTCCTAGACTGTTTGGATGATTGGACTAAAGTTTAGTCTATTATTGGATAATAGGCTAGACATTGACTAATTAAAATTTCCTTTTTTCCAGTGTGTTCTACTCATCAATTAGCCTCAATTAGTTTTTGTTATACCATGATTAGTTCATGTTTAGACATTCTATTTGACACCCAAAACATGGACTAAAGTTTAGTTTAGTCGATCCAACATAATCTTTGATCCGAGATAACTACCGCCATCCAGTGACTGCTCAGGAGATCCTTATCTACTGAAACACTCTTCTGAAAGAAAAATAAAATGGGCAGCAAATTTGAAAACCTAGCTAGTTCAACAAAGCTCAACAATGTTTGTTTTTTTATAGTTAAGTATAGACTAAAGATAAGGAGCAACATCAAAGCACGGCATGCCATGTGCCATGCAGACATGCAGTCGTGTGCTCTCAGCAATATCCTATAATCTAATAAAGCAAAACCTCACTTGCTTATTTCTCTAGCATATCCTTAAGCCACATCATCCGCTTCCTTCGAGCCACGCATGTTCGTTCTCCTCCAGTGATCACGCCACTAAATTTTCCATCCACTCAACCCTGCATGCGCGATGTCCGATCGTCTCCAGTCCTACCTCTTCACATGCCCAACAAATCCATTTATTGATATCATTAAGGTCTAAGAAACTGTCATCACCTGTCTCTTCCTCTCCCATCCACAGTGATTGAAATGCTTCAGAACCATTGGAGTGTGTATTGTTCTAACCAAGAATACAAGAAGTTGCGTCTCTTCATTTTCCTCAAGGTTCACATATATACCACTTGCATAGTTGTGCGGCATCTCATCCCCACGCCACACCTCGAGAAAGTAGCACTCGCAGCTGAGCCCTCCATATGATGCTGCCTCGGCCCGTTAGCGGCAAGAAAGCATCCATCGATCTCAAGGCCATGGCGCGGTACATGCATGCTCTGCGGCCATGGTGAGGGGGGCGTCTTCCCTTGCCGCCTGTACCTGCTCGCCGCTCACCAAGTCACTAGTGGCGACGGAGTCCAGAAGGAGCTGCACGAGCAGAAGAAACATGCTCGAAGAAGGTCGAAGAAATGGAGATCAACCAGCACCAGCAATAGAAAATAGAGAGACAGGCGAGACGCGGGGGGGAGGGTGGTGGTGGTGGGGGAGGGGAGGTAGCAGATCGTCAGAATTGGGTGTGCAGCATATGCAGCGAGTTGTTCCGTATTATTTATTCTACTAAGCGCAAGCTTACTAATATTCTGATGTTTGTGGTATGTGCTGCTTATACTGCCTTACTCTAATTACCTCAAACTATTCATATAGGTGACAATCTTATCGCGTAACTTTCTATTAAACTGTGCAATTTATACTATTTCACTAGAGGCTACCAATCGATTCCCACTAAGTGCAAACTCATTTTAAGTATAATTACTATTTTCAATATATATCAATATATACATGGCATATGGATATCATAATATTTGTTTGACCGTTACGTTTTCTTATAATTTGATATAATATTCCAATACCTTTTTATTATATTCTTCCATAACGCAACAATTTTATTTCTAAGAAAATAATGTTGCAATGCGCAAGGTGTCACATACAACATATTTCTAAGAGTATCCCGCATTCATGCAGCAACGCGAGGTATACTTGTAGTTATATATAAACACACCACACTGGTGCGGCAGTTCCACGATTCAATCAACCTGCCGGGTGCTGGCTATAGTATTAGCAGCGGGCCGGCCAGCAGCTGATCACTGTAGGTAGCCCAGCCAAGAAGCTCGATCCGTAGGCGTAGCCTAGCTAATAAGATGTTTAAAGACTACCTCAATGCAAGCAGCGAACAGTGCAATAGAACAGTGCAGCTCTATGTGTACAACCTCACCTCCTCCTACGCCGACCAGAGGAATGAGGCCCCCATGGTGGCCACCTCTGTGATCATGTTCATCCTCGCCGCGCTCTTCTTCAACCTCAACCTCTTCAGCCGCCTTTCAGACATCAGCGCCATCCTCAACCCCAGCGTCCGCCTGTTCCTCTCCACCTCGCTCTCCCTCTTCCTCCCCGTTATGTCCTACCTCTTCTCTGAGGCCAAGAACGATGCCGCAAATGGTGGTCACATGACCGAGCTCTCGGTGCGAGCCCGGACGATCCTCACGTGGATGCTCCTCGTGGAGCTGCTCCGCAGGAAGGTGGAGGAGATCCTGGTCACCGCAGGCGGCGTTCAGGGGTATTCAGGTACCATCGAGCGCGCCGCTCGGATCGGCTGGCTGGGCTACCTCGTCTTCTACAACCTCAGAAGCGCCGGCAAGAAGGCACTGTTTGGCATCCTATGGGTGTTGGCGGCCTCCAAGCTGGTGCAGAGGTTCATCACGCTCGAGCTAGGGAAGCGTTCCTTTGCCTATGGAAAGAACCCCCAGCTTGTCTCCTCCTACATGAAGACCCTCCACGACCACGATGAGCAGGAGCAGCACGCAAGCAACATTGGGTCGGAGCTTCTGAAGCGGTGCAACTATGTGGTGATGGGTGAAGAGGAGTTGGAGAAGACGGCTGGCCCCAATGGATATAGCCTGCTGGAGTCAACGGAGGCCATCACCAAAGACGGCTCTCCCGTTGTAACGGTTGGCAAAATCTGGAGGCTCGCCGACGACAACAACGACCGGTTGCTCCAGAGGAACCCTAGGCTCAAGCGGATGTGCCTCTCCTTCGCGCTCTACAAGCTGCTGCGCCGGAGGCTGGAGGACATCCCAATCAGCAGCGCAGAGGCTCGCAGTCGCAACTGCCACGACCTCATCTTCAAAGGCCTGTGCCAAGAACGAGTCATGGCTGATACTGATCATAAAGTGGAGGTGGAGGACACCACCGCCGCCGTTAAGGTGGAGGACAGGGACACCGCCGCCGCCGCCGTTAACCTGCTCCAAGTCTTCAACGACGAGATCCAGTTCCTCTGCGAGTACTACCACTCTGTTCAGCCCGTGGTGTTCGCGAGCCCCTTCTTCTTCCTCGCCAATTACATCCTGTTCCCCATTCTTGTCTGGGCCTCGTGCATCCTCACGATCCTCCTGTGCAGCAACGGGGACGTGTCGTACGCCTTCCAGAGCTTCCGTGACGATAACCACGCCGCATACGACGGCATCATCAAGCTTCCCGGATGCATCCTGACAAAAATCACGACGTCAGCCCCGGAACTCTTCACCGTCGTCGACATATGCGTCACCGTCCTCCTCTTCCTCTCCTTCGCCTACGAGGAGGTCTGGGAGTTCGTCGTCTTCCTGCTCTCCAATTGGTTCATGGTGTCCCTGCTCTCCAGCTACACCTGCAAGCCCCGGCGGTGGCTGAGCGGGGTCATCCGTCGCATCATGTGGGTGCGCAGCAGGCTGAGCCAACCCAACGTCTGCTTCAAGCAGTTCTCCGTGCTCTGGTTCTGCTGCTGCCACATCTCCACGGCGCTACCGACTAAGGCCGTGCCCAAACGAGCCAAGAAGGCTATCATGGAGAGGCTGGACAGAGCCAGTAATGACGTCGCTCCTCTTACCAAAGGCATGGACGACGCGCTGAAATCCGACGAGCACCGTCGGCTTTTCTCATGGGCGTGCGGCGGCGATGGCGTCGCCGAGGTCATCCTCATCTGGCACATCGCCACCGAGCTCTTGGAGGCGGAGCACGCGCTGCCGAAGCGGAGGAAGCCCGAAGGAGCAAATTACCGCGAGGTGGCCACGGCGCTGTCCAGGTACTGCGCCTACCTGGTGGCGTTCCGTCCGGAGCTCCTCCCCGACGACAAGGACGGAACGGAGCGCGTGTACAGGGAGACGAAGGAGGAGCTGAAGAAGGAGATGGGGTGCGTGTGGTACTACTGCTCCGGGGTGGACGCCAGGTCCAGGAAGCTGAAGGAGATCCAGCAGGGACATGGGCACGAGGAGGCGACGACGACCATGACGGCGCTGCACAAGGGAGCAAAGCTGGGCAAGGCTCTCATGGACATGCACGGCGACGTCAACGCCGCGGCTGACGACGTGTGGAAGCTGCTGGCTGACCTCTGGACGGAGGTCGTGACGTACGCGGCGCCGACAAGCAGCGAGCTGCACGTCAAGGCACACAAGGAGGCGCTGGCGCAGGGCGGCGAGTTCATCACCGTGCTTTGGGCGCTCACCACCCACACTGGCATAGCCCATGCCCGTGGGCCGGTGGCGGCAGCCACCCACACTGGCATAGCCCGTGCCCATGGGCCGGTGGCGTGGCGGGCACCGCCGCCACCTGCCTTCGTTTAGCTTCGCGTGTGTTTGGGTAAAGGGAGCTTATCAGCTGGTGTGTTAGTGTGCTCGTATGCTTCTTTTTATTAGCCACGCGACAGTGAGATGAGAGACGAACCCCTTTGTTGCCTTGTGTGCATATTCAATGTCAAAAAAAAGAGAGGAAGTGAGCCTAGCTCAGCTGGTTGGGTAGGAGGTGTGGCCATGTACCAAACCACCCTGATTCAAGTCCTCTCTTGGACTGAATTTGGGTGCTTGTTTCTCTTCTTAATGAAAAACCACCTAGTTCTTATAGGTTGGGTCTCTCTCTTGTTTTTTAAATCAATGTCTAGATCCCCTCTAGTTGCCACTATAAATAGAGGTATCACTTTCAGCTGATATATATATGCAAGAAAAGAGTGAAATAAAAGATCCCACATTTCCCTCTTTAACCCTGGGTTCATGCTCTCTGTGTTCTTGTGCAGTTGTGCTTGTTAATAGGAAGAACTAGATTTCTAAACACATTATCAGCATGAGTCTGAGCTAAGGGTAAGAAGGTGAAAATCAAATCAGTTCTTGTGCACATGAAACTCCAAAAAACAGAAACCCTAAAATCTCCTCAAAATCCCTAACCCTAAAAATGACATGGACGGGAAACCGGAAGTTGCCTTTGCAGCCACTAGACTCTGATTTCGAGAAATCGTGCATCAAATACTGTTAGAAAAAAAAAATTTGTATTGTTGAGAAGAATACACTGTCACATCATACTCTCTCTCATAGTTAGGCCTCGTTCGGTTATCACCGTTCCTAGCCAGAACCATTCCTGGCCTGCCATTTCTTCAGTATTTTAAATAGCGCGGGAACCATTCCTGGCCATACCAGGCCGGGAACAGCGTAAACGGCGCCTTAATTGATCCACTCCGTGCACCTCTATACTCTCTCTCATAGTGATTTGTTCCGCTCCCTGCACCACCGCATAACGCTCTCGTGCTCTTTTAATATTCAAATTTGATATTCAAATGTTTCACCATAACGTTTTTATATTCAAATTTGATATATTCAAATAAGTTAGAATTTTCAAAAAAAATTGAACATGTTTGTTAATTACATACATGAACTGTTCTAGCCTACAATGTTATATTTATATAGTTGGAAAGTGTGAAACTTTGAGATGAAACTGGAAAGTGTGATCTCTAGATGTAAGATCTCAACCTTTTCAAACAAATCATTGAAAATCCATATCTATAAAGCATACAACACTGCAACGTGATTTCTTCAATCCTCATTCATTGCAGCTTGTGTCATGTGCAGTCTGGTACCTCTTGAAATGCTGAATGCTCTATTCATATAGTTGGTGCATATGTTTGGAACATTTTTTGAAAAAAAAACATATACTCCACAGATCCCTAGTGTTCTTCCTTCAACCTGAGCTCCAACTCTCTGATCTAACAAAATAAGTAAATAATAATATTAACATCAAGTCATATAACAGACACAATGATAAAATCTCTATAGAAGTCACATTTAGTTCCACAACTGACTGGTCATATTCTTGTTCCTTCAACTTGAGCTACAGCTCTTGATATGAGAAAAGAATAAAACTAGTCCCAGCATGCTGCTAAATGTCATTGACAACTACTTGTAAATTACCTTTTGCCCAAAAAACACTGAATGAGTGGTTTTCTCCAAAAATCCATCTCCCTTTCATATAAAATTCTGCTTTTATAATCAATTTGATTTCTGACCCATCGCGAAGCAAGAACTAACGCAACTCAACAGAAAAAAGAAAACATTTTTTTCACACTCAGTTTGATTTTTGAACACCACAAGCAAGAACTAACAAAAATGAGAAAACACACTACTAAAATCTTTTTCAAGGCGGGCGTTTTTTTATTAACGGAGGCCGGCATTGCAACCGCCTCCGTCAAAAGGTCATAGTTAATTGTCGATTAACCGAGGTGGAACATTGATTAACCGAGGTGGGCGTCTCCGTTAACATTCTCCAAAAAAACCTGGAAAACCGAAAAACTTACGACTTTGGAGAATCAAACCCACGACCTGGTGCTCAACACGATCACATCTCTACCAATGCACTACACACTCTTTCATGTCTATATATAATATGCTATCTTTTTATATCAATATTTCGCAATTTTATATTGGATATTTTAGCTACTAAATGAACTCAAATGAAAAAACCTTTAACTACAAAGTTTTAAATCTTGTGAAGTAATACAACTTTGGCATAGGATATATCTCCATTAGAGCTAGTTTGAAAATTTCAAAAAAATTAGTCTCAGAACATGTGAGTTTCAAACACATATTTCACAGTCTAGGTGACTTTAAATAAAAAAAAATTCAATGTACATTAGGTCAGCCACCGGAACTTTGATATTAACTATGTGAACATTTGAGATCATCTAGGAATCCGAAATTTTAAATTTCAAAATCTATAATCTTCGAACACATATTTGGGACTCTAAACATCTTCAAATTAAAAAAAATTTAACTACAAAGTTGTAGATCTATTTAGAACTATAACTTTTGTATAGACCATGTCAAACATCCGAGATTGTTTGATAATTTTAAATTTCAAATTTCAAAATTTGTGCACTTGCAACAATATTTTGGGACCATAAACAGTTCAATTCAAAAAAAATTCAACTACAAAGTTGTAGATCTCGTCGAGACTACAATTTTGATATAAAGTTGTCTTCATCCCAGTTTATATGAAAAAGTTATGAATTATTTTTTGTTGCAATCATTAACCGAGGCGCCCGCCTCCGGAGGCGGACGCTTATAATGACCACCTCCGAAAAAATCGATTAACCGAGACGTTTGGCTTACGGTGCCCGCCTCGGTTAATCGATTAACCGAGGCGGTTCCGTTACGTTGCCCGCCTCGGTTAATCATTAACCGAGGTGGTTGCAGGGCCGGTGCCTGGCCACCGAATAATGGAAGCGGACAACCGGCCCAACCGCCTCCGAGGCCAAAAGGCAAACACCTGGTTGAAGCTTTTGTGTAGTAGTGACAAGAACTCACCCTGAGGTCGCTGCCATGCGTTGCGAACCAAATTAACCAGAATAGGGCCGGATCTAGGCCTTTCTATCCCTGATCAAATCATCCCCTGACCAAATTTCACAAGTGGCCTAGGTCACGGAAGCTGCGGAGGAAGGCGAGGTCGGAGGCCTGACGTGAAAAAGACAGGTGGGGAAGTTGAGGTGGAGGAGGTCCTTGTCACTAAGCACCAGAGAGACCACAACGGCCATGGGCGCTGACGGCGACAGTAGGTGGGCATGGTCCTCTTCCCCTGCATGGTGGCGCATGCCGATGGCTGGGTGGGCTTGGTCCTCTTCCTCTCGATGGCTGCAGTCGCCGCCGGCAGTGGCGCCAAGGCCATCGGAACCGATTCCTAGATCCGACCTGACCACAAAGTGCGGTGGCGGGGCTACGGACCTACGGTTGCGTGATGCGAGAGGTGGGAAGGGGAATGCGAGAGGAGTGGACCAGCATGGGCGCACGGCAAGACCATCTTGACTGCTGTATTTTGGTAGCTGTACCATGTTCTATACAGATGAGTTGGTGGGACCAACTTACTTCCCCATCTGCTTGCACGTTTCTTGATGCAAGATGGACGGACCAAAACATGCCTTCCCGGGAAGTCGCCTTTGGAAAAACCACTCTCTGTGGACTCAAACTTGTGGCCGTTGAGGCTCACCGTGGCCACCCTAAAGGCACGTGAGCAGACCGCGGCCGCCGACCTGAAGGCGCGCGTGCAAGCCCAACTGCCAGGCCCCCGTTGAGGTGAGCCTCAACACACAACCGTGGGCACCCTGCCGCTGTGAGAAAACATCTATCAGCTGGTCTACAGCTAGCACGGATTAACTCAATGCTTAGCAACTTACCTACGTGTATGACGTCCTTTTTTGCGACCCCAAGAGGACTTCATAGGAAATTGGATTAATTCTGATCATTTTTTTAAAAAAAAGTGATGAATATCGTCGAAGGCGCATCCTATATATATATATATATATATATATATATATATATATATATATATATATATATATATATATATATATATATATATATATATATATATATATATATATATATATATATATATATATATATATATATATATATATATATATATATATATATATATATGTCAACCCAAAGAGCAAGGTGGGCTAGGAATTCATAACTTAGACATAAAGAACATAGCTCTCCTTAGTGTCTTTTTAAATTGCTCAGAATAGATGGTACATAGCAACAGATGCTACACAACAAATATCTAGATTCCAAGCCCCTCTCAAATCAATAGAAGAATGGGGACTCATATTTTTGGGCTATCCTTGTGAAGGTTATACTACATTTTCTCTTTTTTGGGACCTTCATAATCAATAGGTGGAACTTTAATGGTACTTTAGAAGAAGTGCTAAGGGCATGTACAACCCATAGACAGCCTACTGTTTGTAAGTTTTTGAACCTCATGCACAGACAGTTAAATAGATAGCTCGTACAATGGGTTGTCTATTTAACCGTCTACAAGTTGTTTAATGCTTGTATGTTGCCACGATTAAACATGAATATGATCCTTGTATACGAGTGTATTGCTACTTAATACGAAACAGATCAAGCATAATTAAGTTGAATATAATTACAATATTTTAGACTAGTAATTACAGCAACATAATCAATCATGAATATATTTTTCCCATAGTGTTGTAATACTAATACGAGTAGGTTACCGTAATTTTTGATTTGTATTGAAAAAATAGCTTTTTAAAAAATACAAACAGTTCCACAAAATAAGATATACAGAGAACCTTCAAGGTGTGACATGTGTTTTATCTCTACTATAATGTACAGGACAAGTTTCTATAATATACTGAAAATGATGCAATGAATTGAAATCTCTCGTAATTGTCTTCCTGTACTTTTCATGTGCATTCCTGAAATGAAGCCGTGGCGTTAGCACGGGCACTATACTAGTCACTTCTGGTTGTAGTTCTGGTTGGAAGGAACCTAATAAA